TTCCTTTAAGCGTCATGACGTCAGAGGCTCTCCCCTACGCATTACGCCACCGGGTCACATGGCTTCATCAGGGGGAAATGATGATGAAGCCACATGACCCAGTGGCGTAACGCGTAGGGGATCTCAGGATCAAACAGTGTTTTTACACAATGCAGAGGATTAACTCCTTAAGTTCCACAGTGAGTATAACAAGCATCCTTTACTGCATATACAGACTGATTTTACTGTTATATGTTTAGTAACACTTTATGTTTGGCAAACATTACCTATTTTAAGGATACCTTCTTATAGTATAACTAAACGTTTAAGTCTATCCTTAGTAAAGTTCTAAGACATGACAGTTTATTTGCTTACCACTGATGATAACATGACAGCATATCAATGTTCTAAATGTAAGCAGTTTTTTGTCCTTTTTTGTTTAATTTTTCTAATTGCTGCTTCTATTACTCCTTTTTGATCATGCCAGATCTATCTTTGTTCTAAAGGTGAAACGTAAAGGATTTTAATTTTTATGCCATATGCCAGGGCTTGAAATTTCCACCCGCCCGCTCACCAAATACGAGGGGAAATCCCTTTGTGGCGAGCACAGATGGAGCGGGTGGCTTGCAATGGAGCGGGTGGCTTGCAATGCGATCCCCAGGCCCCAGGGATCGATTTGCATTCCACTTGCGCTCCAAGCCTCGTTGTGAAACCTACTTCCAATTTCCATCTTCCGGTTTCTTCTTCGCCGCCGTGGGGGACGCGAGGAGAGGCCCGCTCTCCATCGCCTTGGGGGACATGAGGCCCGCTCTCCACCGCCTTGGGGGACACGAGGCCCGCTCTCCACTGCCTTGGGGGACACGAGGCCCGCTCTACACCGCCTTGGGGGACACGAGGCCTACTCTCCACCACCTTGGGGAGCTCGAGGCCCATTCTGCACCGCCTTGGGGGACACGAGGCCTGCTCTCCCCCACCTTGGGGGACAAGAGGCCCGCTCTACACTGTCTTGGGGGACACGAGGCCCGCTCTACACCGCTTTGGGGGACACGAGGCCCACTCTACACCATCTTGGGGGACACGAGGCCCGCTCTACACTGCCTTTGGGGACACGAGGCTCGCTCTGCACCGCCTTTGGGGACACAAGGCCCACTCTCCACCGCCTTGGGGGACACGAGGCCCACTTTACACCGCCTTGGGGGATACGAGGAGAGGCCCGCTCTACCCCGCCTTGGGGGACACTAGGAGAGGCCCGCTCTCCACCGCCTTAGGGGACACGAGGCCCGCTCTACACCACCTTGGGGGACAGGAGGAGAGGCCCGCTCTACATACTTCTGTAAACTAAACTTATAGCTTTTAAAAGAGACTTTAGTTCCTAAAGTCTCTTTTTAAAGATGCAGGAGAAAAACCCAAAAATACAAAATGTTTACTACAGGTTTAAATCTAGATTGTAAGCTCAGAGGAGCAGGGCCCTCCTATCCCTCTTGTATTGAACTGTATTGTTGCTGTATTATCTCCCGTTATATCGTAAAGCGCTGAGCAAACTGTTGGTGCTATATAAATCCTGTTTATTTTATTAATAATAATAATAATAATATTTTGATTGCACCCTATTGCTATTAAGCTATTGCTGTTATGTTTAAATTGACATAATAAAGCTATGTTATAATTGCAGTTTTTTATATTTTGGACTCTTTATTCTAAAGCAAAACTTAATTTCAAAAGCTTTAAGGGGGCGTGGTTGGGGCATGGGCCGGGGGTGGGGTTGTAGGTAGACCTGGGCAAAGTTGGGTGGGGCAACTGGAGGAGAGTAAGGTTTGTGCCTGGATAGTAGGTCTAGATTCGAAATTTTAAGCCCTGCCATATGCTATTTAGTATTACTACCAACTATGATCAAAACATTACAGTTCAATACATTCATAAGAAACTGTATTCTGTCTTTAGCCATTATAACAAAATATCATGAAAGTTATACATCACTCAAAATTACACCAAAAGTAAAATTACTCATAGATACAATAATTTAGTTAGCTGATCTCCAGGCAAACATCAATTAATGCAGTTATACATGCATAAAATACATACTTTTTAAATGCAGCCAAAAAAAATTATTTATGTCCTGAAACATAAACATAAACATAAGTGAGGCATGTAACCTCAATCCACATGTATTTTGTGGGTTTCAGGATGGGTAGGTGCTGTTTGCAGGGTTATAATTTAGGGGTCTTCAGAAATATCAACAATTATTTGGTCCCATTTTCCAAGTGTGCTTCTGAATTAAGGGAAACTAGAGTGAGAACCCACGTGATTAGATGTTTTAGCTGTCCTGCCAATGATATAAAAAAATTTTGTCAGGTCCATACTGGGTTCTTTTTAAGGCCTGTGTAGGGTGGCTAGTTTCAATTTATGTCTCGTGGTACCCCCATCTCAAAGATGAGCAGAGAATAGAGAGTTAAAGCAATATTAAACTCAAAAACAAAAATGTATTACATTGCAGGTCACCAATTCTTAGATGTTGTGGCTGCATTAGTTTTCTTTCTTAAGATGTTTTCTTTTATTTTTAAGTAAGTCTGTTATTTTTCAACTTACTTTAACAGACCAAGTTGTCCAAAGCAGCAGTTAGAGTGTTGAGACAAACCATTTAACATTGACAGGGGTGCTTACAATGGTCAACGTTTATTCATTTATATAAATGCTTTATCCCAAAATGAAAAAAAAACTGTTTGCTGTAACTACTTCTAAAGTGTTAGCTGGAGTTCAGCTTCAATCTGTTAGTCAAGTCCATCTAAATCTTCTAGTCTAACACTTTCACAGACAGCTGCTATCTAAAGGTGGCTGCTGTACTATTTCATTGACAATGTAGACACCCTAAGACAACAATTGTCTTACTGTCAGGATCACCATGTGAAATAAAAAATAAAAAAAATAAATAATAAAAGCTAATGTAGCAACCACATCTAAGGATTGGTAAGCTGCAGTATATTACATTTTTTTGGTTTTGGGTTTAATACTGCCTTAAGAGGATTTTGGTACTGACACAGGCTTATGTTACAGTGTGGCAAAATGATTACTTTCATTAAGCTGATTCTGCCTGCGACAGAGTCAGCTTAAACAACATCTGCAGGCCTGTGACTGCCAGACTTAAACTGCCAGACATGTGTTAGCACATAGTAACAGACATATTAAAATGCAAGCTCAACAGCTTGGCACTGGTATTGGAACCAAACAGCCTATTTAAGTAGGAATGTGACATTGACAGATTGCTAAGTGGTCTTCAGCTGTTTCTGGATTTACCTGTGATCTGACCTGCTATGTTTATCTTAGTGTATGACTTGGCTCGCCTCTGACCCCTTTCTGGATTCTTGTTTACCTGTTGTGACCTTGGCCTGGGTCTTGGATTCTGCATCCTGCCTTCTGATGTGGAAATCACTACCAAAATGTTAACTGACCTTAGTCTGTATCCTGACACTGTTCCTGCTTATTGATTCAATACTTCATTGCCCAGCTGTTGACAACCTTTGACTTGGCTTTGTTCCTGTCTACTGATCAGGTGCTGCAATGTTTCTGTCTCTGGTCCTTAACAGGTAGTCCACAATCACCTCTACCTAACATCTAACAACTAGCACTGCCTGCAATATGCCTCTCTGTGTCCTCACATCTGTGCCACCACTACCAGAAGTGTTGGACAAGAGGCACAAAAGAGAACGCCCCTCTTCAGCTCGATTTCCACCAAGTATGTGACAGAGGTTGGGTAGAGGACATGGCATTATTGCAGACTTTTGGCAGTTAATTTTAAGGCCTGAATATTCACCAAATTCTTCACTAGTTTGAATGGCCAAGTATAAGGAAGGGGCTGTATCGTGGAGATGTAACCTTAAAACACCAGCACATAGGCCTATTTATTTAGTTATTTACCCAAGAATAATGCATCTGAAACACTCTATCTGAGAATGCTTTTTAAAAATCTTCTTCCCTGATTTCTTTGTCCAACATCTCTACTTGGGATGTGGACAATTGAAGGAAATCTAGTGCTTCTATATATTCTTTATGATCTTGTTTCAACAATTGTAGCTGATCTGGGTTGTGATCAGTAGGCCCTACCATAATGAGCCAAAAGGGGTGGATTTACAACTAAGGCCTGAGGCCTGCTGAATAGAAGGTTAGATGTAAGAAAAGTAAAAAATAGTCACATAGGCTTCCTGGCAGGTGAGCAATAGAGTCCATCATAGTTAAAGTTTTAGCATTGCCCAACATAAGATCAATCTCATGTTATATTCCCTCTCCACTCCTGGCAGAGTAGGGATAAACATGAGGATGCTGTAGCTTCTGAGAATGAGTGACACATTCAAAGCTGCCCTGTCTGTCTATCACTTGTGCCATGAAAGATTTAGCAGCATGGAGAATATTTAATGAGACATTGGCAAGTTATACAACCCTACAACAACAAAGAGTACACAATAGATAATGGCATAAATAAAGATATCTTGGCCCTCTAAATCACATATAGTTTTGATGTATTGCCAGAGAAAGGAGACTGGAGCAGGAGGAATGGCTAAACCACTGATACCATTGCTTGTGAATATATACAACACTTTTACAAGATATGTCTCCTGCAAGCAAATTATTTTATTACTAAATTGTTGAGTTTGGGTGAAAAAAAACATTTATTTGTGCAGGGTACCCATACTCCAACATTCTAAAGCTGACCATACACTGATTGAAATATGACCAGTTCAGCATGGACTGGATGAATTTCCACCATTGTGTGGCTTTCCCCACTTGACAGCAGTTGATCATTTGATTCACTTCTGTCAAAGGGACATGCTAGAAAAGGGACAGCTACAGCTGTCTGAATACAACGTCCCAGAGGAGGGGCTTCAGGCTGCTGACCGAACAAAATAAAAAAATCTAACAGTGTATTAGATCGAGCTGACAGCTCGAGAGGAAAGGAGAGCCGGTAATCGGCTTTCCGCAGAGGGGACATGTACACTGATCATCAGGGCACTGATGATCAGTGTGCCCTGATGGTCAGTGTGGCCCCAGAAGTGCCACCTGTCAGTGTCCATCAGTGCCAGCAGTCAGTGCTCATTAGTGCCACTTGCCAGTGCCCATCAGTGCCACATATCAGAGCATACCAGTGCACAACAATGCCACATATCAGTGCCCATCTGAGCTGCCTTTCAATGTCACCCATCAGTGCCAGTCAGTGCCACCTATCAATGCCAATCAGTGCCACCTATCAGTGCCAGTCTATGTCTCCTATCAGTGTGCATCAGTGCCTACTATCAGTGCCAGTCAGTGCCAGTAAGTGCTGCCTAAAAGTGCCAGCCAGTGCCGCCTATCAGTGCCAGTCAGTGCTGCCTATCAGTGCCACCTATCAGTGCCATATATCAGTGTCATGTATCAGTGCTGCCTTTCAGTGCCCATCAGCGATGCCTGTCAATGCCCATCAGTGCAACCTACCAGTGCCTCCTCAGCAGTGCCCATCAGTGCCACCTATCAGTGTCCATCAGTGCAGCCTATCAGTGCCCATCACTGCAGCCTCATTAGCGCACATCAGTGAAGGAGAAAAATCACCTATTTCCAAAATTGTATAACAAAAACTAAAAAAAAACTTTTTTTTTTCAAAATTTTCAGTGGTTTTTGGTTTGTTTAAGAAAAAATAAAATCCCAGAGGTGATTAAATACCACCAAAAGAAAGCTCTATCTGTCTCAAAAAAATGATAAAAATTTCATATGGGTACAGTGTTGCATGACCGCGCAGTTGTCATTCAAAGTGTGACAGCGCTGAAAGTTGGAAATTGGCCTGGGCAGGTATAAGTGCCCTGTAGGCTAGCGGTTAAATAAGTCTAAATTCACTGACTACAGTGTGAACCCTTTTACACTCAGATCGAAAATTGAGCGTGTGAATGATGGCAGAAGAACTGAACATGAGTAGGGAAAAGCGGCAGATTCTAACAGAGGATTTGGGAATGAGAAAGATTTCCACAATGATGGTGCCTTGAATCTTTGCACTTTGCCTTTGTATGGCAATTTTCCCCAAGGTCTAGTAAATGTGGATAATGGAAATCAAGAGAACTTCACGTCATTCACTTTGCTCTGAGGAAAATTCCCATGCACAGGGCAACTTTCCTTTCAAAGTGAACATTCTATTTATGTTTAGTAAATCAACCCCTTTAAGTCATGAGTTTGGGTAAGGGGTATAGGTAATGCGGTTTGGTTTGTGATATTTTCTCTTTTCTTCTAGTGTGATAAATTTATTTTCAGGTGTGAAAATATTATGGCTCTAAACTGCTTTGACCAAGCTCACCACATCAGATTCACCTAAAATGAATATACCATACCCAGTGTCTCAGAGAGCAAGCCACAACACTTGGTTTGTATACCCTTTCAATTTGCAAATCTCAACAGTCAGATGGGTTATGGGATCCTCTACTACTGTACATGGCGACCACCTTAAAGGTATTTTTACGTTTAAAAAAATGTAACATGATATAATAATTTTTATGTCAAAATGTTAAATGATTTTCTATTTATTTTAAATCTTTGATGTTTTTTTAAATGGATGTTTCAGAAAATGGGGGTTGAGGTACCTTAATAAATATTTTAAATAACCTTAATATAACTTATGCACACTGTACATTTTGTCAACCCATGCTGATCGCTCATATTAGCAATCTGTTAAATGAATATATTTGCATACGAAGAAGTTATTTAAATTTCATTTCCTTGATTAGAAGGAAATATTTAAAGAATTGCTACATTAGGGGTGTTATATAAAAATCTGTAGAGGATTATGTTAAATTTAAATATCTTTGACTTTGACTTAATTATAGTTGCACTTTGAGCTAGCGAAAAGGAAACCAGTTATTAGCACCAGATGTAACATATAATCAAAAGAAAATCCCAACATTTTACTATAAGTATCTGTTATCTTTCACTGACCTTTTGAATTCAGAAGTCAAACAAAAGCTTCTTAAAAGCAGCAGACCTCTCCAAAAACAACCCTAGAAACCCCAGTGGGGCACACCGACTTAAGATGAGACTTCCCTCTTCGGAACCATAAGTCCTAAAAGGTAATGCTAACAAAACGGAGTATTCTGATGGATAAGTTTCATAGCATATAGATATCCTCCATTCTGTGATGACTGCCTTAAAGGGTACGTTCACCTTTGGGAACATGTTACATGTTCCACTTGTTTTTAGGGTGGAACATGTATCATGTTCTCATAGCCGCAGCCGCTACCCGCTACACCCCCCTCCCCCCCCAACAGATAGTATGGCAAGAAGTTTCTCCTTACTATCTGTCAAATTTGAAAACAGCGTCCACGCAGCTGCATCATTCATTCACGGACTTCTGTGAATGGATGAACTGCAAGTCCCGACAGCCTTAGTGGCTGATGGGTTGTAGTTTTTCAATGAACTACCATGGCGCTGTGGAATGCCGTGTTAGTTCATTGAAGTGTTCTTTCAGAATATCTGTTTGCTCGTACATCCCATATGGCAAGCCGATATTCTGACAGGCCTGCAGGAGGCCTGCATGGCATCAGCGATCTACTGATTGCTGGTAAAATGCTTTCCAGGCTCCTGTAGACAAAAATAATAAATGCACATTTTTTTACTTGCAAAAAAAAATGTGCATTTATTATTTTTGTTTAAAAGGTGAACTTATCCTTTAAAGGATTTGGTAGCTAAAAGGACTAGTGGTCATAGGTGCTTGAATGGTGGATGACAGATTCCTACCCATTTGGCAACCATGAATCCAGGGAAGCCAAGTTCTATAACACAATTATATGTAGTATAAGACTGAATTTAGAAACATTTCCCAAATGCACCCTCAAATACTACCAGCAGCTCAAGTTTTTCAGCTGCAATAAGCCTAAAGTGGCTCTAGGGTCTAATAGTTTTCTTGTTTACGTTAATGCATTCAGTGCATTAAGGCAAAAAATCTCTTCACTAACTGTTCCCCCCTCCATTAACCACTTCAAGACCGGACACTTTTACCCCCTTCCTGACCAGGGCAATTTTCAGCTTTCAGCGCTATCACGCTTTGAATGACAATTACGCGGTCATGCAACGCTGTACCCAAATGAATTTTTTACCATTTTTTTTAAACAGATAAAGCTTTATTTTGGTGGTATTTATTCACCGCTGGGATTTTAATTTTTTTTGCTAAGTAAATGAAAAAGTCCATAAATTTTGAAAAAAAGTTTTTTTTTATAAAATTTTGCAAATAAATAATATTTCATCATAAATCTTTGCCAAAATTTATTCCGTTATCTTTTTAGTTAAAAAAAAAAAAATCCAAATTAGTTTATAACAAAAATTATAATTTTTAAACATTTTTTTTTACATTTTTTATTTTATTTTTTTATATTATTATTTTTTATTTTTTTTATTTTTTTTTACATACTGTCACCCTAGCAGTACAGTGTCACCATGGTGACACTGTACTACTTGTGGGGGGGTGATGAAGATTTTTTTTTTTTTTACACATTGCTTTTACACCCATATAGGATGTAAAAGCAATCATTTCTCTTTCTCTCTGTGTGCATTCATGCACTCATTGAGAAGTACTGACTGAGCTGTGATTGGTCACAGCTTGTCACATGGTACAAGCCTGTTGTGAATAGGCTTGTACCATGTGACCTCTGTGATCATTCACAGATTTCACACGTAGTAAGCAATGATGTCACAAGTGACATCTTGCTTACTACTTTGCATGTGATCACTGATTGGCCAATCAGTGATCACATGATCGGGACCTCGTACAGAGGTCCCGTCCGACGATCAGTGTTTCACTGTGTCCGGAGGACACAGCGGGCACCGGATCGCGGTGTGCTGCGTGCTCCCAGGGAGCGTGCACAAGCAGGGTGCGGGGAGGCCGTTTATAGACGGCCACCCGACCCTGCAGTGCCACCGTCCGGCCGTTTATATGCAACGGCCGATCGGGAAGTGGTTAAAGACTTACCTGAGCCACATCAACAATCCATTGGCTTCTGCTGCTGTTAGTCAAATTCTGTGAGGAGGGAGTGGGGGCATGGCTAAGCTATGCTGTGTGTGTTTCTATGGATGCTCACAACCTGGCTTGGGAGCACCGTATGGGGGCACCCACAGGTAGAAGAAGTGAACAGCACTGGCGGGGGATTCCAGAAGAGGAGGTAAGACACCTTTCTGTGCAATACCAAATATATAGTAAATGTATGGGGCTGCCTAAAAAAATACACTATTGTACTATAAGTGCAATGGGCTAGTTTAGGAAATATTGGTTTAGAGAAATCTTGGGACAAATTAGTTTCCACCTTCAAACTATCCTAACTTAGAAGCAACTTAAACAAGCAGTGGAACCTGAAGACATCAGGACACCTGATGTGTGAATAGTAGATGTTCAGGAAAGAGCAGGAAGAGATGTAGAGGATTATGGAGAGAGATGGCAATGAGACTGGTCTGATTATCAGAAATCTATGCATATATGCTGGAACTGGAATGTGAATGAAAGGCACTGGAGTTTTGACCAGGAAAAATAGGATTAAAAAAGCAGCTACCAGCTACTTAGACAAGATCAATATAGACCAGAACAGGAATCACATAATTTAGAAAGAAGAAACCCAAAGAGATAAATAGACAGGGGCTGGGAGGTTGAGTCAGTACAAATGAACGCAAAAAATCAGATTAAAGCCAACCCTCCTTCTCACCTCCTCCTGTCTCAGGCTCAGGGCCGAGCATCATGTGACTGTGACCTTAGGTACGTAAAATAGACTTTTTAGACTTTTTTTTAAATCCTGCAGTCAGACTATAAAATAATGAACCTAAATATTCCAACAGATTTCTCCTGGTTTATAAAAGATTTTGGCAGTGCTTAAAGTAATAACATTCCAATAGAAGCAACATAGACAGGTAAATACATATATGTTTTATCAGTACCCACAAGAGCACAGATTTACACTATAAGGGAATAGTAATGAGTGATTTGGAATGGTGATATTGCATTCCATTGCCAGGGATATTTGTGAGTACAAAGTAGAACCATATACACTATAGGAAAACCATTCACCTCTTGATTTTGGATGCCACACCTAAGGCTCTAGATATTTATCAAGGATGGGTGCATCAAAACAATCAGATAGAAGATCCAAACATATATTAGTATGTCTTTAATCCATTTGAATTTTGAATATAAGCTTGGTGGTTGTAGAATTGTGTGGTGAGGATATTATTCAATTGCAAACTGGGAAACTGTTAGGATTAAGAGAAAGATGGCTGTAACAAGATATAGGACAGTTCTACCTTAGATTGGCCATAGATGCAATCCCTCCTGTGGGGCTATTGTGCTCTCCTGGTGGGGAGGTGCAGGGGGCAACCATCTCAATAACCGCATGAAAAAG